AAAACTTTGTTTAACCAATTTCAAGGCACCAACATTATTTTTAGCTATGGATAATTTAAGAGCTCGTTGAAATTCAATTCAAATGCATTCCCCATTATCTTAGAATTTTAACCCATATATTCGGACGTATATTCGCAGTTCAATTTAAAAAAACATACAAAAATTCGAATAATTACGAAATTCGGCTCTAATTATAAATACGTGTTTGATTAGTCAGCCTGGTATATTTTTATAACACACGTGCGTCTATATTAATTGTGCTTTATACATGAAAAAATTTGTACGATTTTTTTAATAATTTGATGTCGACTGGTCCATTTAATCAATTTGTCAAGGCACGAATAGTATAGATTATTTAAAAGTGTTTCGTTCAAACTCAATTCGAATCTAATATTTTCGATAGAGAACTCTAAATTCGTTAAAGGATTTACTATTTAAAGATTGCTCCGACAAGTCTCCTGGAACACGCGTTAACGTTTACCACACGCATTATCATTCTATAATCTATTTAGCCTCGACGACTTCTCATTGTAGCGCTTAGAATTGAAAAAGACGATAATTAAATATCGATAATATAACACTATGTCGTTCGTGGCATTGCGTGGTAATTGGTCTGGAAATTTGTCAGGATCATGCCACCAAGGAGAAGGCGCTCCAGACAATGTCGAGCATGTCAAGCGCCCAAATAGTATCAGCTGGAAGCGCGTTACACAACAAGATGCCCCCCGCCCTCGTGGGGCCCCTTGCCCTTCATGCTTCCACCCCTGTCTCCTATCCCGGAGCGGTAAGTCCTGATCTCGGAGAATCCCTTGAGACAAATCTTTTCTGTTTTATTTATTTCTTTTTAATCGGCCTGTCACATTAAAAGAGCCAACGAGCTTTAGGGTGAGACGACGAGACTCTATAAACGTATATGAATTAATTAAGTTACCAACATTATGCTACTGTTGGCTTCGCACGAATCGCTTTTAGATCAAACAAGCGGCCTCAGTCTCTCTTCCGCTTTTATAATCGTTACATTGATTCGTTAATTTTCAAGTTTTCTCGATCGATTTCTCGACACATCGAGCGCCGATAAACACAGAGTTATTGTTAACGAAGTTAACCGAATCGGCTTTATACAAATTCAGGGAAAATTTTCAAGACGACTTTGGACCACTTCATTTTCAGAAACAATGGATCTTTTCAAGTGAACAAATTGAATCGAATTTAACGGTGAATGGATTTCTGCCAACGAGAAATGTCGATTGTGTTAATATACAGGAAAGAATAAAATTCTGTGACATTAGTCGCTACGATGCAGTTTTAAATAGCAATGGCATACTTGTAGCAATTCCGATTTATCTCGATTTATATGACATTCGTTTGTCGACAAATTGAAAGCTTTGCCGAAAAGACGCAAAATGTCTCGTCGTCTTTGAGGATACGAATTTTACTTTTATTATCAGTATTGCCGATTTGACTTCTTCTTTTCAAGTTCGCGACTGTTCCTAACCGCTTTGCTCGACAACCTCGCTAATCCGCCCGTCGAAGGCAAGTGTCGTGTGGTTTGTCGACTCTGATCTATAAATTGTTTTTTTTGTGTCTCGCGAGATAATTATTTTATGATTAATATGTTACGCCAGAGAGATTGCAACGGGTGACATTAAATTAACAGCGTTTAGGATACAACGTGGATTCACGATTAAATCATGTTCAATCTCAGCAAGAGTATTCGGCATTAACTTCTTTACGCGCGCACACTATAATGGGTGTATTACAAATTTAAAGTTTTGTGAGCACTGTGAGCGGTGTGCGTTTGCGTGCGTGCGTGTGCGTGTTAAATAGATGGAAAATACGCCTGACATTTAAACGGAGCGATACATTTGCGAACGATAACAGTTAAGCTTGTTTAAAATTCGACAAATTTGATTTCGTATCTTTAAACCGACTTGACAGTGCTTTGCTTCCATCCTGTGTCTCGCACGAAGAAGAAAGGAAGGGGGAGGGGGTTGAAAATAATAAGTGATATTAACCGATTAGAGACAGTGACTTTAGTGTTCTCTTTGTTTCTTTGGTTAGGCTTTCCGCTTTTTCGCTGTCACGTTTTGTTCCCTTGCGCTCTCTTCCTCACGTCTGAAGAAGAACGAGGGAAGCAGAGGGAGAAATCTGTTTCCCCGATCAAATCGCGTACTTTCTTCTCTTCTTCGGCGCGAAAGCTTTCGCGTCGCAAACTAACCATCCCCCTTGCAAAAGCGACATCCCCCCTGGCTCTCTGCTGCTGCGCCATCCCTGGGGGCCCTTGTTGTGTATTGTTAAAATTGTTCATCGCTCTAATCTTGTACATATACATATCGCCTGGGCATATCGCATACCCCACATACGACATGTGTGTGCATACAGATTTACAATATGTATGCGTTACATTGGACGTTTCTGCATAATCTGAGGGAAAAAAAAACATTCGTTGTGGCTTACCAAACTGTCCCTCTTTCTTTCTCTTTACGTAATAAAATGCGACAATTACACTTTTGTTGTTATTGCTGTTGTTGTTCTCTTTTACTTTGTGTTCATTCGTTTTGTTTCCCATCGCTCATTCCTCGCCCGACGGCTCGATGGCTTTTACGGAAAAATTTTGCAAACCACTTTGTTTTTTTTACCGAAAAACAGTTGCGATACAAACAGTGCAACCAATGTGATACAATTGATTGTCTGGAAAATGCATATAAAAAATGCAACTACTGATAAATCTTTTTCGTAATTTAAGAGAAACGGATTCGTCGATTTCTTTGCTTAACTGTCAGCTTTTAATTTATCTCTTTTGCAATCGATAGTAATGCGATTACAGGACAATCGTTTTGTCGTACCAATGCAGCTGTTATAATCGAACGAACTAAAGTATCAATTATTTATTTATTCATTCGTTAAATGGCAATAAACTAGCTGGTTAATAAACGTTGATATCTAATTTGGCTAATCGTTAAACACCAATGTTGCGTGTCACCTTTAGGTATAAACTCGCGACATGTTTTCAGCAATTTTGGCAGCCAGGCTTGCAGCCAGGAACGTCCCAGGATGTCAAACCCTTTCCTCAGCCTGCCTACACCGGGAAACCGGCGACAGCAGTCTCGAGCGGGGATTTGGTCCAAGCGCAGCCTGCACCACCATGGGAAGGACGCGCTATCGCGACCCACAAGCTCAGGCTTGTCGAGTTTTCGGCCTACATGGAGCAGCAGAGAGAACAGGAGATTGTAAGTGGCATCGTAAGATTTATTAACGCGAAGGTAGAGCCCAAGTGTAAGCCTCTATATACAAAACTGCCGCGAAACCGACGTGTATCTTTGAGACATTTTTTTTCAATTTGATAAATGCGGCGCGCGTCTCCGTCTTGTTAACCCGTTGAAGAAAATGCTGACTGAGACTGTGAGGAATTAACTGTCGAAAACGATCGAGTAGTCATAGATAAGTGCGGATAATGTGGCTTGTGAAGATATTGAAAGAGTTATTATAAAGAACGATTCCAAATTGGTTTCCTTCAAGAAGAGTCATTGCTTTAATTAACTTGAGACGATGGAAGAAATTGAAAACTGTTGCGATCGGGGTTGTTAATCATCACTCGTACGAATGTACGAAAGACCTTAAGGTGGCAAAAATTATTTTATGAATATTACGCGAATAACCAGCTACGAATGATAAAGCTGCTTCATAAAGCATAGTAGCAGTTTAATGAATTAGGATAGATATAATATGTCTGTGAAAGGTTAATTTCTCGGATAGTTAACGATGTCGAGTATATACGCGCGATTACGGTTCAGGGATGTCTCGTTTACGTTAATTTCTTTTTCTTTCAGTACCACAAACACCTGTTCGTCCATATAGGAGGTTCCACGACCTACGCCGACCCGCTATTGGAAGCGGTCGACGTTAAACAGATATACGACAAATTCCCGGAGAAGAAGGGCGGTCTGAAAGAACTTTACGAGAAAGGACCGCAAGCAGCTTTTTTCCTCGTTAAGTTTTGGGCTGATCTCAATAGCAACATCCAAGACGAAACTGGAGTATTCTATGGCGTTACGAGCCAGTGAGTAGCACGCGCTGCTTCACGATTATTCGGTTTTAATTTGACAGAATATTTATGCTGCATTTTGCACTGTGACAGATACGAGAGCAGCGAGAACATGACGATAACGTGTTCGACGAAAGTATGCTCCTTTGGAAAGCAGGTAGTAGAGAAGGTGGAAACGGAATATGCCAGGTTCGAGAATGGCAGGTTTGTTTATCGTATTAGCCGTTCACCTATGTGCGAATATATGATTAATTTCATACACAAGCTGAAGCACCTGCCAGAAAAGTACATGATGAACAGCGTTCTCGAAAATTTCACCATCCTTCAGGTGCGTTATGACATTATTGATATTATTAATTCTTAAATAGTTCATTTCTTGCATATAATTTCTATATATTTTATATAGAATTTTTTATACTAATTCGTCAATAGATACTTGTGCGTTTGAAATACCAAGTCACCGAAAAGTTTATTTATTTATGTATTTTTTAATTAAATATTTTGGGCCTCTAATTTTTATTAATTTTGTTAATTTTGTTCTCGTCCGTCGTCCGGTTTTACAATTACAATTTAAATATTCTACTGGAACATTGACGAGTGTAAATGTATTTCTGTCTGTGTACAACAATTATAAAAAGTTTTAAATAATCTGTGTTGTAAACACAGATATATATAGAGAGAGAGAGGGGGGGGAGAGAGAGAGAGATGTTTCTGACTTTGTACTTTTTGCTTTTGCAGGTTGTCACGAACAGGGACACGCAGGAAACATTATTGTGTACGGCATATGTGTTCGAAGTATCGACATCTGAGCACGGTGCTCAGCATCACATATACAGATTGGTCCAAGACTAGCCTGCTTGAACCTGCTCGCCATGCAGCCATCCACCCCCATCAGTGCCTACCATCACATAAAGATCATCCATACACGTATACATACACGATTACATTGTGAAAATACAATATACACGTACAACTGAGTTCCTCTATTCTGAAGTTATTAGAGTCAAGCGTTTCCTCTAATCTTCCCATCACCATTTACTCTAAAGGACACAAGCAGATTGAAAAAGTTATTGTGCGCCTGTTTTATTAATTTCTTCGTATCTCGTGTTAGATATGACATATGAGAATGGGAAATGTGACATACACATGGATAATGGAAAAGGCAATAGGCAGCCTTGTAAAAAAGAGAAACTTAATTTAGAGGAAACCAGATTTATAGAATAGAAGAGAACTTTGAATAGAGGAATTTGATTATCGCGCAATATGTTACGTGAATATGTGGGTGTAAACATATGCTTACACTTATACAGAAATATTTTCGCGTCCGTAGGTGAGTTTCGATGGAAAATATTCGGTCGATAATATGAAAATTATTATATAGACAGATATATAAATACTAGATGTTATAAATAAAGCATCTCCATCTCGTCCACATACAATCCGGATAAATTAAAGTATGCAATTGCATATGGTTTTTCTTTTTTCTCTTGCATTCAAGTTTTTTTAACTCGAAACTTTTCTTGCATAACATGCTAATTTCGTAAATTTGAATTTTATAACAAGTATTCTTTTTATTTTGACGAATGCGTTTAGTAGAGAGATATCGGAAAATAAAATGAGACAAGTCGCGATATTTCAAATGATTACAAACCGGCTGTGCATGCTAAGGGATTAAATTAAAGATGAGAAATTCTAAGTATTGTATAATAAATATTATAAATACCCCAAAAGGTCTAATTTTTATCCTCGTAGTGTTTTGTACCGTAAAATAGACGGAATGTGTGTTGCGAACGTTTTCCGTGAAACTCCTTAACAAGGACTCTACACATCTCAACTCTACACACATATACAATAGAGTACTGGCCAGCCCGAGTTTGAGTTTGATTCAAAGTTTATACTTTTAGTAACTTATTGGATCAATATACAAGTATGTGACATGGTGTAAGAAGAAATTCTTGCATTTGTACCGGACAATGACATTAAGATATTACACAGTTATAAATTTTATAGTAAAATAGAGATCGAACAATGCCTCATATACATATTTTATGATCATGATCATCGTCCTGTTTAATTGGCGTCCTAATAAACTCGTCGATTAATCTTAATAAAGAGGATATATTGTAACAAATTAATTTAAAATTGACAATAAATTTTGGTATAAAACTGCATAAAGAAGTAGAAACATGCAACAAAAACCCCAAAAAAAGAGAGAGCGAGAGAGAGAGAGAGAGAGAGAGAAAACAAAGAAACAGACTCTGATCTCGGAAAGGCATGGTACCCCAACATGATTTGATTTAGTATTATAGTTTTATTATTAAATTAGATGGTATATTATAGAGACTCGAGACAGAAAACACCCATACACAGATATACATATATTATGTATAAGAATATATATGTTAAATATTAATGCAATGATTACAATTTACATTGTTATAAATGATCGTGTATAAAGTTATCTAAGTGATTTCTAAGTTTTAAAAGAAATGGAGGTTTGACCGAGAGATATGCCATTATGACTTTTTTTATGTATTGTAAAATACAATGATATGCTGTTTTTTTAATTATCACACTTAAGTTAGAAACAAAAGAAAAAGTAAAATATTGTACATCAACATGTGTTTCTTTAAGCTTTGTCACAAAACTGCTTTTCGCAGCGTGCAAAATTTCTCATCACTATGAAAATATCTGGTGCAGCAATTATTAACGTTATTAATTACTTATTAACGTTCAATGGGAGGATGATTATTTTTATACCGTTTAAAAATTCAATCGTTTAAAGCGCACTTAATAAATATGCAAACCCACTCTGATTAGGCAGCGACACTTAGGTTAAAGGGATGTGTTTGTATTTCTTATAATCGCCTTACTTTGTATTCTAAGATCATTTTCTATAGTTCTTACTGATGAATGATTTTTCTTACTTAGCGTACTTTGTTTGTTTTTATCTTTCTACACTTACAAAGCGATATACCAGATGGATATACATATATTGATTATACCGATGGAAAGTCACCATTATAAGTTATAACTATGTATATATACATATATGTATGTATCTATAATATATATGTATATGTATATATATGTGTGTGTGTGCGTGTGTGTGTGACTTTAATTACTCTAAAACCTACCGATCCTATCATTTTTTTATCAGGAGTGTATTGAAATCGGTTTCGAAAAATGTAACGACACACACATGGCAATTTCATAGTGGCATGGAGCATCGATATTCAAGTTACGATACAACGTTTGATCGTCTGATTTCAATGTCGCTCTCCAAATCTCTGTAAGTTAAAAGTATTTTTCAAAGCTGCACTGATATAAGGGGATACAATAGCTCGTTGCAAAAAAATGTTTCGTACTTAATAATATAATTTATACGTTACACATACATGGACCATGGAGAACTTACATACAGAGATCTTTCATGAACTTGCAATTAGTGGCAATTGTTTAAACGAGTAGGATTATATCTTGCAGTTGACTTTATTTAATCGCATCTCTCACGTATATGTGTATGTATGTATGTGTGTATATACATATATATATGTATATGTATACACGCACGCACATATGTATATTATATATATATGTGCGTGTGCGTGCGTGTGTGTGTAATGTGTAATAGTTGCACAGAAAGTTTTTACTTATTTTTTAATTCGATCTGTTGTGTGTTTCTGGAATAGGACTTGCCTATCGTGCAGTAAATATTAACATAAGCAAGAAAAGATCGTGTATATTTTAATAAGATAATATTATTTTCCGTATTCTTACTGTAATTAACTTTTACGGAACAAGTGGCAATGTATTTTGATCTCTTTTAGTCAGAAATATGTCGCTTTTTATTTGGGGTGAGAAGTGAATTTACTATATGGGTTGACTGGAGTAGAAAGGAATTTATGTTTAATCGATATGTGAATGTGGTTTTTTTTTAACTGGCAGCTTTTATATGTTTTACTCATTGTTACCGTTTTTCTTCCTTTTTTTTCATATAAGCTCGGTGTCTATTTGAAAGTAACTCTCGGAAATAAAAAGAATTGAAAACATAAAAAGAAATACACATAAGAGAGTAACTTTCTTTAGTACTTTTCAGTAATATGTTTATTTGTGAGTACGGTTTTCGAAAGTGATTCGCGACAGTATTTCTTTCAAATGGATACTAGCTAGTAGTAATTCATCGCGCGCTTATCATATCGTTTTTCTATTACTTATATTTATCGTCAATATATAAATTGTGATTTAGTAAAATCATTTGCATATAAAAAATGGAATTGTAACCACGGCCATGCTATATACGAATAAGTTTCTTTGCAGTACTTTGCTCGTTAATAACGATCGAAAACGAGATTTGCTACTTTGCATTTGCAGTAATTTCAATAAATGCAATGTAATATTGTCATTATATAGATACCATACATAATTATATTTATAATGAATAAAACAACATCGCGTGGTTACATATTGAATTGCTTAGTAACGCATTATTATTTTTAAAATTACGCAATGTTTGAAAGATACAGGAATTCGGTTCGGTCGTGTAGATTTTGATATTATGTGGAAATCCAAAAACAGGTGGAACGAATATAAAATTGAGAAAAAAGGAGCACCGACACTAATATTATTGACATTTATGCGTAATGATTTTAAAGTAAGCGAATTACATTTATAAGGAAAGATTATAAAAATATATATTTATCTATGTCTTCTGTGAAGATAGAAAATAGTACTCTCTCACTCTATATTGACGATATCGAAAATTGAGGCCCGATAAAAAAAGATACAAAATGCAGAAGTAGACTAAGGAAAGAGAAAAAAAAATAAAAAGAGACAATTCACACTGTACACAATAACATACAATATTGATCGATTGACTCAGATTTGTTAAATATCTTTGTACATATTTACATGAAGACCATGAGAAATTGTTCAAGTTCCAGCAGCTACATTTTTGTAACAAGTACTCCTGTGAGAAGAGAGAAACTGTTTTGCTTACGGCTCATTATGAATCCAGTTCCACATTTCGAAACTAAAGTAAATGCAAAAATTCTTAATATTTTCATAGAGACGTATTAGTTTCTTATAGATTTTCATAGAAACGTATTAGTTTCTTATAGATGCGATACTTTGATACAACGATAGATGTCTAATCCTTAATTTACTCCACTTTCGTTTATCTAAGTTAGTAACTAAATAGTTATACGTCTATAAACTATACATTTACTGTCAAAACTTAAGAAATGACACAATTACTCGTGAATATATTTTAGTTACTCTTTGTATTAATTAGATATAGAGATGAGTAATTAAAATATATTTATAAAGCAGAATATTCTTAATTATGCTTTAAAATGTATATTCATCTCTAATACGACTAAATCGAATCTTATCTCTATGAAAGTATTGACTGCAGCATGCACGCAATCGGCCTGCTAATTCGGTAAACTCCCAGTAATTTGCATCTCTTTAAAATTCTATTTATTCATATCCTGGAACTGCCATATCAAAGAATTGAGCTTGATTGTAAAAATGACTCAAAAATATTGATCGGAGAAAAAAGGAAACAAAAGGATCTACTTGTATATTATTATCGTAAATGAAATGAAATGAGGATCAAAGTAGTTGTTTTAATGAGTAAATGAAAAAAATAAATAAATAAAATGATATATCATTAAATTAGAGGTTTAAAAATATAATAGAACTCAGTATATGTACAGTATTTGAAAAACATGTTTATAATTTGTATGGAGAAAATAAATGATTGATATAAAAAAAGAGATTGTATTTTTCATCTTATACTTTTGCAGACGGTGTCCTGCACCGTCATTCTCCTGTATATACATATTTCAAATAAAGTCTGTCATTCTTCCTAGCAAAATTAAATAATTTCTACTAAAGTACCTCGATTGTTCGCAATAACAAATCTCCATGAGTATTTTGCATATGGAAATATCGTGTATTAAAATAACATTTATACATGTATCCTTGCGAATCCAGAGTTTTTTCATTTATACGATCAGATTTGCATATTGTTCGCTTTATTCTGAAGCTCGCTTAAAATTTTTAGACAATTTAAATATTCTTAATGGAATTTTATCTCGAAATTAAATGCAAGTTATAAATCGTTTAAAGCGGGCTATTGCCTGGCTATAGTGAATACTCACATCAGTAAATACTAACAGTGACATAACATCAATAATATAATTTCCCACTCAACAATTAATGCAATCAATCACATTGTTGCGTAGGAAATTAGAATATTGATGTTATGTAGCTGTTAGTTGGTGTTTACTGGGTAATTATCTAAACGTTTTTTCAAAACTTCAGATTTCTATTATATTTATTTTAAATTGGGTAGACGAGATTGTTCTCACTTAATTAAAAAATTTTCATTTGTACAACACACGCAAAGTGCCACGATAAAAGTTAAGGTAAATTTTTCTATTAATTCTCTCTCTCTCTCTCAGAGATATAAAAATATTGTGATTTAAGACAAAATATTCTGTTATTTTTACTAGTTGAGTCAAAGAGGCACGGCAACGTTTCATGCCAACTTTACAATTAAATACGCTCTATTCAGATAAACGGAGATCATATTTTCATATTTCGGCGAAATTAATTGAGTTTTATCTGCACGACTCGAAAAGTTATCGATCGTATCCGCTGTATAGACCTATCCATTTTCCTACCTACTCGCGCTTCAACTTTTTGGAGGTCCGATTTGGAGTTATACGCGCGCGATTGGGATTTAATAGGAGTCTTTTTAATCTCGCACATATGCGAGAATAAAGACGATAAGAATATAACCCACCCGAACTTTGACAGATAAGAAGAAATCACATACTTTATCAAAGTGGCCAATATTGACCACTAACTCGGCGTATCCCTTCGTTGGGCCAGATTGGACATACCTTTCGTTGCTCCCGGCCATACAGTCTGGTCATTTTGACCAGAGATCAGGAAGGAAGAAAACTCCTTCCATAGTCGATTTATTATCGTCACCGACTGATATTTCGTACGGTTCGAACTATACGCGAGCGTCGATCGTATCGAAATGCGCGACCACGAGAAGTTAATTAAAGAGGAAAATTAAGTTAAAAAACTTGCTGTACAAAACTCATCAAATATATTTTTACTTGCGTTATTTATTCGAGAATAGATGCTGATTGTCTCTTCGTGACTCGATCTTTAAATTCGAAATTCAAGTATGTATGTGTATAGAAAAAAAGAATTTACTTCGCGTAAAATTTATTTTAATTACATTCCGCGACTAATTAAAATTGATAATATGAATGAAATTTAACTATCAATAATTTCTTGAAAATCTTTTGAAAAATGATCGCGAAAATACGAAGATGCGTGTAACTACGCATGTATTCATGCGAGACGCATCTTGAAAGTGAATCGCGGGTTACAGAATAAATGACGTGAGACCCAGAGAAAAGAAACTTTCCGTACGATAGATAGACCGACAATTGAATATTCTAGTTAATTACTCAAATAATGTATAAAACTAATACAAATAAGTTTCAGCGTTCGCAACAAAATATTAGAATCTCACGTCATATCGTATATAAATTTGTTAATGAAAAATGGATAGGCTGTAAGATATTAGCTCGACGAATACGTCAATAATATTCGTCACATTTTGCGTGAAAATATGTAATGTGCCCAAACGGGGCAGTAACCCTCGACAGTGAACATCGCGATCACTTCAAGGAAATATATTAAAATAAACATGAAATTGTGTTGTTATCTATCCATCTTTACGCAACGAATCTACAAGATATACTAAACTACGATCTACGATCTACAATGCTATGCTCTACAATATGTAGATTCGTTGCGTTATTAAAAAAAGTTTCAGACTCACCAACACTGACGCGCAACAGCGGAGTTATGACTGCAACGTCGCTACGATGATTCTGTAATGCACAAACAAACATAAAATTAATATTCAAATAATGTTAAAAAAAAGCAAAGTTTCAAAATATATTTCTTACGCGTAACGAACCTTCTAGTCAATAAAATACTCAAATAATTCAACGTCTTTCGAAAAAATTCACGGGAACGAACTTTAACAAAATCTCGAATTACTTCTTTCTCTCTAATTATTGAGTTATGCAATGTGACTCGGCGAAAAAAAACGGCGAAAAAGGTCGCGTTTGCGCAAAATGAAGGATAAGTACCGCAAGGTTGCTCCGCCGATGCATGATGCCCTTGCTCGGGCCTCCTCCTCCTCTCAGGCTGTTCTATCGGATGGCCGGCTGCGCTGGTTTCCTTCGAAGCACAACACTAGCACTAAGGCCGGTATTCATAGTCTGTTCTTATATTTAAGATCGTCTTAAGTATACTCTTAATGTGTTTTTAACCAATCACAGAGCCGTATTAGCCTCTTAAGACAATACTTAAGATGATTTTGAAATAAGAATCGACTATGAATACCGGCCTAACACTCACTCGCGCACTCGGTCCTCTTCCTCCTTTCGCGAACAATCGGAGTTAAATTGTCAATCGACGCGGAACGCGACGACGCACGAGAAAAACGGCCATATTCAAGTCCAGACACGGCGCAGCGAGCAACCGGCCGCGAATGGCGCAACGAAACACTTCGCAATTCCAGTATTTTCGTCTCGACGGCTCCGCCTCGAGTGAATCGCGCGACACATCCACTCTCTTCGTCCTTTTTCTCGCAATCGATCATTGTCTCTCGATCCGTAACCGACACAGCCACTACGCATTCGTTCCAACAAACTTGATACACTCGCGAATCGCTTGCGCGCGTAACCGACGGAGATTCCCGCGGAAAGAGGAACATTGGTGCCAACCACACGCGGAAAATGTCACGGCGCGGTGAGTAACTCGCGGACGCTTCCTGTCCGCTCGAGAATCTTCGGGCGAATTAACCGGCCGCCGGCACCGAGTCACTTCGTCGCACAGGTACGTCGAACGCCGAACGAAAAAAGAATCCACAGTATCACTTGATAACCGGCGCGGAAGGTAACGAACGTTGTTTCCGAGTCTTGAGAATCCATTAGATTTGCTCGCCGTGCTCGCGCAGTTACACCGTCGGCACCGAGAGACGTCGACTGCGATTGGCCGATGCGCGGGGAGGGTGTCCCGCGGAGAGAATGGCACTCTCGGCGGCTCGCACGAATACGTCTTATCGACTAGAGATCCCTCGGCACGTACGTTGAAACGCCGAACGAAACACAATAGACGATCGCGCGGCATCCGGACGCGGAAGGTATTAAACGTCGTTTCCGATTCTCGAGAATGCGCTGGAAGCGCGCGTTCAGTTGGGCCGCCGGTCGACAAACTTCTAGAACGATTGGCCGATTCGAAGGGAAGCTTTGTCCGGAGAGAATGGCGTTCGGCGGCTCGACCGGCCGTGCGACGCACGAAACACGTCCTGCCAACTCGAGATCCCGCGGGCGACTGACTTCTGATTCACCTCGGTACGTACGTTGAAACGCCGAAAAAACAATTGAGAATCACGCGTTAACTGAAGCGGGAGGTAATAAAAACGTTATTTACGCTACTCAGTGTACGATCAAGGGCACGCGACGGTGCGGCGGCTCGAGCCGCCGCCGCGCCGCCGGCCGTTAGCCGGCGAGCGCGATTGGCTGGATCCGGGGGGGCTCGTCGTCACTCGTCGTGCGGCGGTCGGCGGCTCGGCCGCGCGTAGCGCGCACTAGGGCCGCTTCGCATGTCGTATTATTCTTTTTTGATACGCGTTCGCGACAAGTAAAGGCCTTCACACATAAAATTCCGTAAGGACGTAAAACGTAAGCGTAAGAAAATGAACAGGTTGGATTTGCTACTGCTTGCGTCATTGGATGTGTTCGAAAATGGATTTAGTTACTGCCAGTGAAAACAGTATAGTTGGTAGCAATGAAAATTACTGGTGCTGCGTTTTTCGCACGCCAGTAAAGTCAGTAAGGCTGGATCTACATTGGATGTCGTAAGTCGAATAATGAACTGTGATTGGTCAATTTCTTCCGACACGACTTACGACATCCAATG